AAAGTCTATGCTTACGACAATATTACGGTAAGCGGGGCTACACGTGCTTCAGGGTCAACACAAAATCATCACGTGGGGTTTACGATTAGTTCAGGATTAAGAGGCTTAAATTATTATATGCGGAGAATAACTGGTTTTCAAGGAATCTCTTGTTTCACAATTGTTGAGCTTACTTCCATTTCGAGTGAGAGTGTTTGGTGATGAGATTCCAAGGTCGATCCCACCAGAAGACAACGGCGGATTCCTCTTGACCAGCTGTCGGTTGGCTTTACTCGAACACTCATGCTGACGCAGTTTCCGAGGTAATCTCTTTCGATTCTGGTAAAAAGGTGCTAAGCTTTTGTCCGTCATATGACGAACATCATCAGAGCAAGGTACCATCATCACAAGCAACTTCAAACTAACGAGTCAAGAAAACTCTCCGGCTTTATAAGAATTTGCCGGTGAGTTTTCTTGACTCGTTAGCTTAAATTGGTTTGTTATGGCGATGTCTCCTTTTATTGGAATAAATTATTTGATTCAGTCGTCTCTTTTTTGCCATTCTTGCTGAGATACAAGTTCCTCCAGGTTTGTTTAAGCAGTAAGCAAACTTAGATCATGGATATAAAGCTTTTAGTTTTGGTCACGATCTCCTTTGAATATATAGTGTTGGTTTCATCTCGGCGATACAGCAAGACTTTGTGTACTATAACTAATCATGCTTCCTCTGTCATAATATCCATGATAATTTCCATTATCTGACCATTGTCTTGATATATCCCGACTAGAAATTTCTATTAGTTCTATGGCAGAGGATGCAGGACTAAGTATGTTTCGCGAGGTCTCCCTGTCGCAAAATAAACTCAAGCCGAAACTAATAAGCCGAATTTCGTATTGTCTTTCTCTCCTCCAATCTTTTATTCACTAGGTTTCTTTATTAAAGGTTTTCATGGCTTATCTCACGTTTTCTTGTATTTTCTTGTTCTTTTTGTTGTATCTCAGTTGATTTGGGCATATATTGCGCTTTTTTCTCGATGTTTCTTTATCTGTATTTTACATAGTCGCTAGAGTTTTTTAATTCTTTTGTTGCTTGTTGATGGGTCTTCACGGTCAATATATAAAAAATACAAATTAATTATTACAGAATTCTGAATCCCTTAGTCTTAGGCGTCCTATAAGCACTTACTATTTGTTAATGCATTATTAGGTCTTCTTCATAGAATTTCCTCAGTAGTAACGTCGAATGACGTTTTGGACAGTTTTCCACTTTAGGACGTATCTTAATCTTATCTTATGTGGGTGATTTCTGTCTATCCTTCACTCTAATTTTTATTTCTAAATTCGTACGTCACTTATCTTGATTTTTTACCTGACGAAATATCAAATCATATAATGCATCAACCATCAATTGTAGCCTCACGAAATCCTCTGAATCTGATTGCCTAGGCTTTTCTTTTGCTCTGATCAAATAATGTAATTTTGAAATATTTAGTAGTTATCTTTATATAGCCAAATTATGATATGCTTTTACAAGATCCCTTTTTGCTTTATGTGGAAAATTGGATCTATACCATAACGTCTGCAACATTTTTTGAATAGGTCTGGTAGTATGATTCATTTATATTTGTCTTCCTTGTGCGGCTGTAGTAGTTGATTCCCATAGTATAACCATATTTCCCTCTTAAACAATTTCACTACATAAATGTAAAATGGGAAAGGCCTAGAATTCCTTGGAATTCACTTATGCCCTCAAAAGCGTTTATACAGTGTGGCGCAATAGTTAACACGTCGAAACTATACTCTGTACTAGATCCATTTGAGTCAGGCTGAAGTTTCTGATGTCGAAACTGCGGTCCGCTCTGAATGAGAACACCTTTGGAAAGTAAGGTTATGTGAAATTAAATGTAAACGTATGGTCTCTTCATATCATATGGGGAAAATTCAGCTAGCAGTTCTAGATCATCTTAAACGAAATTCAGTGAACGCACATCTTATATCAGATCTATTGATAGTCTCGAAAATCGATTTATAATCTGAAAACCTATTCGCTTGCCCTATATTTCATGCGGAATAACCTGTTATAAGTTCACTTAATCTTAAAATTGTTTTCCACTAGTCTATGCTTGTAAGTGCTCTGAAAAAATTGCATTAAAAAGACAGTTGAATCTTATGAAATCTAAGCTCTTAAATTTTGCATTAACATCTTTTTGTAAGCATGGCATTTATATTATTCTAGAAAATGCCATAACAACATTTTTCATTTTTTCAATAATGCCAGCTTATTTAGCTATGACAAATTGTAAAATTTAATCTCTTCAGCCCTCCTGCTGTGATCTACCTTTAATCAAAACTAACGGACTGTAAAGCTGGTATAAACTACTAGAGTACCACTGCTGTGATGGACCGACTGAAAACGAATCGTTCTGCCCTATCCAGGCTTCAAATAGATGATAATCATGTGGAATCTATAGAAAAGGGGTCGGACATGGAAAGAGCTACAATGCAATCTGCTAAAGCTCTTGGCACTCAAAATAAGCGGTTTGGTCGATTGTTTGGTTTCGATTCTGAGTGCAATCTTACCGAAATGACTCGGCCCAACCCAGCATGGCTAGTCCCACTTAAGCCATCTGACACAGAACCAATATCCACTGATGAGTTGATTACCAAGTCAGTAAAGTTTTCTGAAAAATTTAAAATTCACCTAAGAATGACCCTAAACATGCGATTCTAAGCTTCTCATAGGCTCAACTTTTAAGCATCCTAGCTAAACTTATTAAATTTTTTGAGTTTTTGATCTGCTGATTGAAACACTCGAAATTCGCCAAGTCATTTTCTTGCTTTGACTTACCATATATATATATATATATATCTCATCCATCCAAATCCTATTTATTGTATGATTGTTGGCTAAGCAAGCATTTATTTGCCATTGCAATCGACGGCCTAACTTGTTTTGATTTATTTAATTTTTTACACAATCATTAATTGTTGAATTGTTATTCTTGGATGATATAGCTTTTTGGGAGGCGAGGCTAAGTGAATTTCAATGGCATCACGATGCCTATTTATATCAGTGTGGGAAAATTTCAAATCTCAGTCCCCAAACACCTTAAAGGACGTAGTCTAGCTTAGTTTGCA